CGTCAAGCTGCTGAAGCTCCTCCTGCTGGCGAGTCTGGTCGTGCTGCCGCTGGCGGGGATGACGATGACGTCGACATGGACGGAGCCGTCAACTACCTCGAGAGCGGCGACTGGCTGGACAAGCTGGTCTCTAGTGAAGGCGGTGTCTCCCGAACGCAGCTGGAGGCTGCGCTCGACGATGCTGCATCCGCAGACAAGAAGTCACGGACGGGGTAGCCACTGTGCTCCTCGTCAGGGGCCGAAGGCTCCGCGATTTTGGAAAATTATCTCTGCCAGTGTCACTGATCGCTCTGGGCTTGACATTTTCCTCCCCTCCCCCTCCGTTTTGCGGGCTCATCTTGTCGGTGTGCAGGAGACGCGGGTGGTTGAGGTTGAAGCGATGGAGCATAAACTTAGGAGACAAGGATGGAGAGGCAAGTACTCATCCGCTGTAACCACTAGTGGTGGTGGAATGTCGGGTGGCACTCTTATCGCGGTTCCAAAGCATGTGGGATTGGCGCAGGTTGAGTCGATACCGATCGAGATGCAGAAGGGGAGGGTCATGATCATGCATGTGGGGGGGACTTTTCCCAGGAGGCTTCCTCGCGTGCACCCTCTATCTGCACTATTATATCGGCCTTGCTCCTGCCAACTGGGACCTCCTCTGTCGGCTGGGAGCCCAGCTCAAGATGGCTAACATGCCTTATATTGTCATGGGCGATTTTAACATGGAGCCTGATGTGCTGCAGCACTCAGGCTGGATCGATGCTGCTGATGGCTTTGCGATCCACACGGATGCGGGCACCTGCGCACCTGCGAATCGCGCTATCGATTTCTTTGTTGCATCGCAGGTGTTGTCCTCGGTCGCCGGGGTCTCGCTGGTGAATGACGTTGCCATCGCTCCTCACACGCCCGTCCAGCTAAGCGTTCGTAGTCTATCCAAGCCCCCCCAGGTCAGAATGGCCAAGGCTCCTCGCAGATTTCCTCGCGAGTTGCCCATTGGTTGCCGTCAAGAACCGTGCCTTACCAGATGGGAGCAAGCTGCTAGTAACATGGAAGGTTCGTCTCTGAGTACCTCTTGGAAAGTTTTTGTGTCTGCCGCTGAGTTGGAGTGGATTGATGCGTTCCAGATACCTCCTGATCTTTCGAGGGCATATTCGGGAAAAGCTGAGGATATACGTGTGGGGTGGTATCGGCCTGCGCGGCCTGCTCCAGTTCCTTTCCCTCGATTGTGCCCCCAAGCCGTTTGGTGGCGGACGCTTGCCCTGGTCCTCAAGAGATTCACGAGGCCCCAGAACGTTGCTCAGTTCGCCCAGTCCATCAAGCGTGCTAGGTACCTCCAGAGCTTGCCCGATGTGCCCACCTCGGACCTGGCTGTCGCCTTCCTGAGGGCCCTGGACCGCATCCGCGTTCTGGATTTCGTCGTCGTTGATTATCTGGCCAGCATCGCAGCCATGCACGCCGAGCGCTTGCACAAGCAGGCCGCCCAGCTGAAGAATGTCAACTGGGACAGATGGGTCAAAACCCACACAGTGGGAGGTGCGGCTGCTTTGTTTAAGTATGTGCAGTTGCCCGACCCCTGGCAACCGTCCACTCTCGATTCCTACACCCTCCGCCCCAACATCAGCATGGGGGAAATGGATGCTTTGGAGAAGGAGTGGAGTGAGTGGTGGCAGGTGGGAAAATCGCAGCCCCCCCTTGAGTGGCCTGAAGATTTAGGAGTCCGGCCGCCGCCACCTTCCACGCAAGTGCTCAAGGAGGTTTTAATGACTTTTCCTGCAGGCACAGGCTGCGGCTATGAGCAAAGTCCGCCTAGGATGCTCCTGCGCCTTCCTGAGGCGGCGCTGCAGTTGTTGTGTGACATCATCGCCAAGATTGAGGAGGCGGTGGAATGGCCGCCACTCATTACGAAGATAGTGTTCATATTGAAGCGCCTTGGCGGGGTACGTCCGCTCGGCCTGTTGCACGTCCTGTGTCGCATCCAAGCAAGATTGCGCAGACCGTTGATTGCTCGGTGGCAGAAGCGCAACTACCGCAGCTTCTGGTGGGGCACGAAGGGCAAAAGTGCTGACATGTGTGTGTACATACAAGGGGTTTGGGCTGAGCACTGTCAGGCGAAAGGGCTGTCTTCTGCCACTCTGTTGCTTGATTTAAAGAAGGCCTTTGAGCTGGTCAAGCATCATCATTTGCTTGCAGCTGCGAAGGCCACGGGCTTTCCGCTCTGGCAACTGAAGCTATTAGTGCTCGTGTATCGCTCGCCTCGCTTATTGGACCTCCAGGGGATCGTTAGCAATTTCGTGGTCGCAGAATCAACTATTGTTCCTGGATGTGGTTTCGCTACCGTTCTACTGCAACTGATCCTCCTGGGGCCCCTCGACATCGTGCAACGTGAGCACAGAGCAGTATGTCTGTCGGTCGTCGTCGATGACTTTGGTTTGCGGCGTTCGGGAGAGCGTGGACGTGTGCTCGCAGATGTAGCAGGTGCAGGTATCACTTTGCAGCGTGAGCTCCAGCAGGTTGACTTGCGGCTAGCGTTGGACAAGACTCGCGTGCTCGCCAGCGACACCTTGCTGCGTGATCAGCTTGCAAGTAAGCTTGTGTCACTGAGGGCCCAAGGAGCTGTTCATGAGCGAAACCTCGGTGTCGATTTCAGTTCTGGACGCTTTCCCAGGAGGGCCACTCGGAGATCCAGGATCAAGGTTTCAAAGGACAAGCTGAAACGCCACAAACACCTCCAGGGCGGTGCTGCCAGGAGGCGCACGCTGGCCATCATGGCCCGTGCTTCCCTCGAAACGGCCGTTTCCTTTGGGACCTCGGTGCAAGGCACCACTGTGCAGGAGCTGGATCATCTCAGGTCGCAAGCGGCTGCAGCTCTTGATGCGAAGATGAGTGGGAAGAGCCGCACCATTTCGTTGGCCCTTGCTTCTCAGCAATGCGATGATCCTATTTGGCGGGCCACTTTGGAGCCCAACAAGGCCTTTGCTACGGTACTCTGGTCTCGTCTCGTCCCTCGGCATGTTCTGGAGCACGGCCTATCTGCGGCCGCTGACGAGCTTGCTGGAAAGGCCAGCCCTTGGCCGTTGGTTCGTGGGCCCTTCGGGGCCCTGTATGCCACTCTGGAGCGGGTCGGGATCGTCGCGGTTGAGCCTCTTGTTTGGAAGTTACCTGAAGGATCTATTATCAAGTTGGAAGACATGTGCCCCAGGGTCCTGATCCACTGCTGCAGGCGTGCGATTCGGAGCTGGATAAATCACCAAGTCGCTGAGCATCTGGGGTGCCCTGAGTTTCGCAATGGATTCTGGAGTGGGCCCCTGAAGTACCTCCTCAGCAAGGGATCCCTCAACTGGCAGCAGCGCGGTTACCTTCGGAGTGCCTCTATTGGAGCTCAATGGCCACGTCAACGGCAATTTCAACAAGGCTGGACTGCTTCTCCCAATTGCCTTGCATGCAGGAGAGCCCTCGGCAGCCTCCTTCATAGGCATGTCGATTGCCCGAAGATGCTGCAGGCAATGGAAGAGGCACTCCCAGTTCCCATTAGTCTCTTGAGGCCACATGTGGATCAACATCCTCTGGGGCTTCTACTACTTGAGCGTGGCCTCCTGCCTCCGCCGCAAGCGCCGCAGTATTTGTTGCAGATGCCAACTGGCGCCGAGCTCAAGTGGGACGGTGACCCGCAGGCTCTTACTGGTGATCTGTATTTGGACGGATCGTTTATGACTGATTATCCTGATCGTGGGTTTTCTGCCTGGGCAGTTGCCGCACTCGCAGCGCACAGCAACGCGTGCACGTGCATCCTGACGGGTCGGCTGCCGTATCCGTTGCAAGACATTGACGGAGCTGAATTGTTTGCTTTCTATGCTTCCCTTCTGTTTGCAGTGCCGCCCGCTGTATTTCACACGGACTCGGATTTCGTGTGGCGTGGCGTGAATGTTCGAGGTCCTGTCGCCACCACGCATGCATCTTCAGCCTGGGCCTGTCTGTGGAAAAAGGTCTGGCTGAAAACCGATGACTGGGGAGGAGAGGTGCCCGAAGTTAGGAAGGTGAAAGCGCATGTTACGGATCGTGGGGTTGACTCTGGGCGTTACTCTCTCAGGGACAAGATCGGGAACGACGCTGCCGACTTGGCGGCAAAGAGGCGTGCGCGCGAGTCGCGCGTGCAACCCGAGTTTTTGAAGCTACTCAGTACGCAGAGGAAGATGGTGGGAATTACTGGGAGGTGGATAGCCAGAGCAGGTGAGTCGGCCGCTTCTGTCGATTGCTTGCACCGCCTGCGTCCGAGCACCTCCGCAGCCCCCTCCTTAATCATTGTCAAGCCAGAGCCCCCCACCCTTGAGCAGAGAATCCTCGACGCGCAAGTCGAGCTGCGTGTCGCTGGGTTGAGAGCTCATCAGGTGGGGACATTTCTTGTTGCATCGAAGCTTGTGTTTTGCTGTATGTCCTGCGCATCATTCACCACCTCCCGTGTGGTGTCACTTGCTGCAGAGTGCAAGCCCCTCAGGCTATCCAAAGACCGCAGGCAAATCCTCGATCGCTTGCGAGCTGGTGAATTCAAGGTTGACGGTGCGTGGAAGCGCGTGCTGAACCTCCGTTTGCTGACCCTGCCGACTGTGGCGGTCGGCGATCCCACTGTGCTGCCCAGCCCGTCGGCTGGGTCGTCCTCTCGTGCAGCGCAGTGAGTTTTCTCGCGCTGTGCTCGACGCAGGGCGTTGTCTGCGTCCAGCCCAGCACCAGTCGAGCCTGCGGTGGCGGAAGTGGTTTCGAAATGCGCCACCCGCAGTGCTCCCGCCCGCAGTGGACGGATTCCGTCCGCTCTGGAGCTGTGCCAAGGAGGAGGAGGAGGAGGAGGAGGAGGAGGAGGAGGAGGAGGAGGAGGAGGAGGAGGAGGAGGAGGAGGAGGAAAACGAGAGCGACGACGGCGACCTCGCATCCAGCGCCCGCCGCCTCGACCGCGGCGCGCGCGGGGGGGCAGATGGCCGCGGCGCGATCGCCACGCGTGGGGGCGCCCCCGCCCGCTGCTGGAGGAGGCTGCGCGGGGTCCTTCGCGTCGAGCCCAGCCAGGCAGGCACCGTCGTCGTCGTCGTCGTCGTCGTCGTCGTCGTCGTCGTCGTCGTCGTCGTCGTCGTCGTCGTCGTCGTCGTCTTCGTCGTCTTCGTCGTCTTCGTCCTCGTCCTCGTCCTCGTCCTCGTCCTCGTCCTCGTCCTCGTCCTCGTCCTCGTCCTCGTCGTTGTCGTCGTCGTCGTTGTCGTCGTTCGTCGGGCGTCGCCGCCGCCGCCGCCGCCGTCGCCGTGGTGGTGGTGGTGCTGGTGGTGTTGGTGGTGGTGGTGGTCGTCGTCGTCGTCGTCTACACCGTCGTCGGCGGCGTGCCGGAGATTGTGGTCGAAGGGCCTCGCGCCCCCACCCGCCGCCGGAGACTGCGGCGTGGAGCCTCTCGCACGCCCCGCCTGCGGACCCCGGGGCTGGTAAGACTTCGGATTGCGCGCAGGCGGCCCCCCCAGGCTAGCCCAGCTCGTGCAGCGCCTTGTGCCACTCCTTCCTGCACCTGCCCTGCGAGGGCGGGCGGGAAGGCTTGGTCGTCGTCGTCGTCGTCTTCGTCGTCCTCGTCCTCGTCTTCGTCGTCGTCGTCGTTGCCGCCGTCGTCGTCGTCGCCGTCGGCGTCGTCGGTCGTCGGTCGCCGCCGCCGCCGCCGTCGTCGCCGTGGTGGTGGTGGTGGTGGGTGTGGTGGTGTTGGTGGTGGTGGTGGTCGTCGTCGTTGTCGTCGTCGTCGTGGAGGTCACGACGGCCACGCCGGCTCAGAGCGCTTTCATCACGGCCGTCGTCACCAGCCATGAGGGCACCGTGCCTTGGCTGGCTTCCGCCTTCGCCTCCTCGACTTTCTCGCCGCCCGCGGGTCGAGACCACCTGCCGGACAGGCCCCCCAGGGCGCTCCGCGCCACAGTCGGAGGTTGATAGTCCTCCTACCCTTTCACGTCGATTAGCGACTTGGCCGTTTCGGTTAGAGAGAGTTTCGCGCGGCCGTCATTTTTCCGGGTCCAGGTCCGTCGGTTTTGGTCCTAGGCCGTTTTCACTAAACGGTGGTTGACTAAAGGGCGGGTGTCTTGAGACCGCCCCGGGTTACTCGGGGGGCCTGTCGAGACCAGCGGGAATTCTTTACGCTTCGCGTATCCCCACCAGCCCATCTCACAGCAGCAACTCTTGCGAAGCATGCCGACAGTCGTGTTTTTCAGGCGTGTGTCCACTTGGCCCCGCATATCTCCCCTGTTCCTCCTTCCTCCCGCCTCCTTGTACATCCTCCTTGTGGGGGGAGCGGGAGAAGGACGAGGCGGAGGAGGAGGGAGAGAAAGCGCTCCTCGTGATTTGAGTCGTTTGGGGTTTCTCGTCCTGGTGTGAGTCGTTCGGGCCCTTCTTCCTGGTGTGAGTCGTTCGGGCTCTTCGTGGTGTGAGTCGTTCGGGCTCTTCGTCCTGGTGTGAGTCGTTCGGGCTTCTCGTGGTGTGAGTTGTTCGGGCCCCTCATCCTGGTGTGAGTCGTTCGGGCCCCTCCTCCTGGTGTGACTCGTTCGGGCTCCTCGTGGTGTGAGTCGTTCGGGGCCCGCGTCGTGGTGTGAGTCGTTCGGGCTCCTCGTGGTGTGAGTCGTTCGGGCGCCTCGTCCTGGTGTGAGTCGTTCGGGCCCCTCCTTGTGGTGTGAGTCGTTCGGGCTCTTCGTGGTGTGAGTCGTTCGGGCCCCTCGTCCTGGTGTGAGTGTTCGGGCTCCTCGTGGGGCCTCTTGGAGCCTCTTGGGGCCTCTTGGGGGCCTCTTGGGGGCCTCTTGGGGGCCTCTTGGGGGCCTCTTGGGGCCTCTTGGGGCCTCTTGGGGGCCTCTTGGGGGCCTCTTGGGGGCCTCTTGGGGGCCTCTTGGGGGCTTCTTGGGGGCCTCTTGGAGGCCTCTTGGGAGCCTCCTGGGGGCCTCTTGGGGCCATCTTGGGGCCTCTTGCGACCTCCTCAGAAGCGCAAAGTGGAGCTGCCCCCTGAGAAGTACAAAATGAGCCCAAAACCTTCGTAAAATCAATGATTTTGCTAGGAAGAACGATGAGCGCGGCCCCCTCAGAAGTCCAAAATGGGGCCAAAACCCTAGTAAAATCAAGGATGTCTGCTTCGAAGAGGAGTAGAGGCGCCAAACGGTCCCCCCCCCCTGGGGGCCAGAATCCTCGTGAGGGTCGTCGTTTTTTTGGCCCTCCCAGGAGTCGAAAAAGACCCCCGTGGCTACACTCGGCCCGCCCTCTCCAGGTCCAGGGGAGGGGGTAGGGGGAGGGGTAAACCCCTCCCCGAAGGGGAAGATAGGGGGTTAGGGGGTTGAGGACCGAGAGAGCTCGCTAAACCACTCACGCCCAAAGGGCTGGTGGGATTCCTCGAGTAGGCCTGTCGAGGCCCCAGCTGTGACTGCCTGGGGCGGCTGCCTGCGCACTTTCCGAAGCCTCACAAGCGGGGCTCCAGCCCCAGGGTGGGCGCCATCTCTCAGAAGCCCCGAAGCGGTGCGGTGACTACACCGCCGTGTGATTCGATGTGGATATTTGGGAGGGCCGCACGGCTTGGCGTTCGGGCTTCTTGGGCGGTTTCCCGAGGATGCCTCGGGCGACCCGGACCTCCGAGGCCCCAACACCGTGCGGTGACGGACCGTGTTTCGGTAGCAAGTCATGGGAGCTTCGCATGTCCTCGGAAGAACCACATTTTTCGAGTGCACCAGCGTGCGCTCGCGTCTGGTAGTCGATGAGAAAGCGCAGATTTCACGTCGACTGGCGTCGAAGAGCATCGGCCAGCGTCGATTCGCAAGAGCCAGCAAGACGGCATAGGAGATACATACCCATGAGATGTCACCGAACCACCAGGAGGAGGAGGAGGAGGAGGAGGAGGAGGAGGAGGGCGAGGCGGAGGAGGAGGAGGACGAGGAGGAAGAGGAGGAGGAGGAAGAGGAGGAGGAGGAGGAGGAGGAGGAGGAGGAGCAGGAGGAGGATTTGGAGTAGGAGGAGGAGGAGGAGGAGGAGGAGGAGAAGGAGGAGGAGTAGGAAGACCGCTGCGTGTTCGCCGTTGGCGTTCTGAAGAGGTGCGCTGTCGACCCGCGAATCAAAAAAGTTCGCCGTTTGCGAAGTCCAGGTCGCCGCATTGGTCCGCCACGGCACCGCGAAGGGGCCACCCGGCCGTCGAGCCCCCAACAGAGGAGAGAGCACCCTCCGCCAGGGGCACCCGCTCCTCGAGGGGCGCCGGCGGCGCGCCGGGGCTGCCGATCGCACGTCGTCGTCGCCGTGGTCGCCGTCGTCGCCGTCGTCGTCATCGTCGTCGTCGTCGTCGTCGTCGTCGTTGCCGTCGTCGTCGTCGTTGCCGTCGTCGTGGTGGCGGTGGTCGTCGTCGTCAACGTTGTCGTCGTCGTGGTGGTGGTGGTCGTCGTCGTCGTCTGCATTGTCGTCGTGGTGGTCGTCGGCGTCGTCGTCGTCTACATTGTCGTCGTCGTGGTCGTATGCCAGTGCAGGATTTGGCGGTGCGCACTAGGGGTTGGCGCGAGGGGGCGGCCTTTTGGGAAGGCGTAGGTTTCCTGAGACCTCAGAGGCGCCCCGGCGCTGTCAGGAAGGCTCCTCCGAAGCCGGGATGGCTTCTGAGAGGAGCCCACCCCCGCCCTCTAGGAAGGCCCCCCACCTCGTGAGACCCTCCCTCCTCCTCCACCTCCTCCTCCTCCACCTCCTCCCTTTCTTCCTCCTCCTCTTCCTCCTCAGCCATTTCGGCTCCACCAGGGGATTGGGCCGTCCACCTGCTGGAGTTTGGGGGCAGCAAAGCATTCGGAGTGGTATTGCTCTCCCGAGCCACAGCATGAGCAATGGCACCTGGGACTCCGCCGCGTGCGGCGCCAAGGGATGCTATCGCAATCGCACGAGGTGCTGGAAATGCTGGGCATGGGGAGCGGGCGAGGTCGGCCGGCAGCGAAGCCGCCCCAGCCACAGCCGCGAGGATGATGACCAGCAACCAGGGCCACAGGCTGACGCCCGTGAGGAGGCGAACGAGAAGTTGGCGGCTCCGCGGAGCCGCGTGCGCGACCTGCGCGCGCAGGCCGCCGAGGATGGCATGGAGTTCCATGGCGAGGCAGCGGACCGAGGGCAGGAGGAGTTCCGTCGCTTGGAGGCCCAGAAGGAGCAGAGTGCACCGCGGTGCTTCGCTCAGGCGCGAATGGAGCGAGAGCGCCGCAGGGCGGAGACGGCCAAGGACCGCATCAAGAAGCGGATCGAGGCGTTTTAACGCCAAGGAAGAGGACATTCAGAAGGAGCTGGCGGAGGAGAAGGCCAAGCTCGAGAAGAAGGAGTCGCATATCCAATAGCTGGAACCAGGTCAAAAGGTCGCAGCTGGAGCAGCACACTGTGCCCACTGACCCGGAGGGCCAGTGGGGCATGGCGGCGCACCACCTGGAGCAGGCGGAGGCGCTGCCGCAGAAACACAGGAAGGAGACTGTCGACACGGACCTCAAGGCCAAGCATAAGTACATCAGGGAGGCCCTCGCGATGGTCAAGAAGAGGCAGCAGGCAGTCGCGGAGAAGATGGAGATGACCAAGGCCGAGGCCGAAGCCCAGCGCCCGCGCGCCCTGTCGCGCAAGCGCGGGGCTGAGTCGAGCTCCAGCCTGGTCGCCATCCCCGCCAGGGCATCGTCATAGCAGGTCAAGCAGCTCCTCAGCAAGCACTGCACGGCCGAGCAGGCCGAGAGGCATGTGGCCGGCATGGCATCTGTTGTGGGCGATTTGCTGGATGGTTGCTTCCTGGAGCTGCGCGCGCCGTCATCCTGAAGGGAAGCAGCCACTCCAGCAGCATATCGTGACGGCCAACGCCAACACGGCCAAGTCCCTGGAGCGCGTGCTGGGGCTCGCGAGTACCAAGGCCGTGGTGCTTGGCCAGGAGATGTCCATGGGCATGGCCGGCTCGGGGGAGTGGTCGCAGCGCATGGCTCGAAAGGGTTGATAGACTGCAGTGGTGCCTGGCGCGCGCGCTGCGGACGGAGGATGGAGCGCGGGCGCGGCAATCGCGGTGCCCAGGCACATCGCCATGAGCT